GGCACCACCACTGGCATTTGGATTCATGGCACGTGGAACGGGGAGCCAAGGGTAGGGTCTCCAAGTACAGTCACACTGCCAGCTGCAGGATATCACCAATTGCAGCCCCATGGCTGCTGGTACCCTCGGGAACCACGCACCACTAACGAACCGCCCTGTAGCGCTGTCTCCATGGAGACGCTGATGTGAAGTCCAGAGGGACATTGGATGCAGGGGGTTGCTCCAGCCCTTTATCAAGGTGGGGCCAACCCCAGCTGGAGCGTCGCAGCTTTCATGCATTCCCTGACTGGCCCAGCAGCAGAGTGAAGGAGGGACTGGCCAGGTGGGAAACCATACAGGCCGCATAGGAGCCCCAGTTTAGCCACTACTTAGGCCTCTGCAAGAAGTGGGCACAGTGGCCCCCAAACAGCCATTTGGCACAACTGACACCCCTCCTCCAGCAGACACACTCCTGCCTCGTCAACAGCCCCAGCTGGGCAGCAGCCCTCTCCTCCCCGCTCTGTGCGGCTCATTGACCAGGAGCACAGTGGGTTTTCCAGACCCAGAGCACCCCCTGCTGGCTGAGTATGGCTCCACCTCAGTTTCCTCTCACCTGGTTCACAGCAGTTTTCCATCCGGTAACTCCCCTCATGGGGGGTTTATTGGCAAAACAATCTTCCAGGCACAGTCCCCAAAGAACCACTCCCGGCCCTTTCTAGCTGGAGTCCTTCCACAGGCCTCTGCCTGCCTTGTCTACCTCCAGCTCCAAGAGGCCAGCAGGCAAATGCCCTCTGCTGCTCTCCTGGCCTCCCCTGGTTTCTCAGGGGCTGACTCCCTAGTGACCTTTCCCATCTCAGCCGCTCTGGGGTGCCTTTGCGGCTTCCAGCCTCTGGGACAGGGCAGCTTCTTCCAGGCCTGCTGCGGAGCTCCCTGGGCTCCCCCTCCAAACTGGGGTCTCTGCCCAGGGGTTTCTCAGGCCATCACCTGAGCCCAGTTAGGCCTGCCCCCCTCCTAGCTGAGAGTCTGTTAATTAGCACAGGTGGGGCTGATTGACAGGGCTGGTGTATCCAAGTGCTGTTCATATAAAGCACTACTCCGGGCCCTGAATACAGGGACATGACTAGGGAAGTATCTGCCTCTTGTGGGCATGAATCAGAGGGTTTCTGGGATCTGACACCTCTCAAGCCAGGCTGGGGGATCCCTGCATGATCAGAGTCCAGGCAATCGTTACACTGGTGGCTTCTGACCCCCCAGCCCAGACTGAAAACCTTCCAGCTTCAGCTCAGCGCCAACGGGCATGGGACAGGCACAGGGGATGGGAGGGATTCAGCTGGGGTGTCACTTTGCCCAATGCCCTCCGGGTGCTGCACACTGTCTATTCAATAGGAAATAACCAACCCAGTCACAGGCCGCTCAGGTTGCGTCTGGGCAGCTGCGTGTGGGATAGGAGAGAGACTAGTGCCCCCTGCAGGCGCCAGAGCGCCTAACACCAACTGGACACATGCTTCAGTGTTCACATTTTCAGATTCCACGGCGTAGCCATCGTACCTAAGAGCAAGGCCCCCCACCTGCTGTGCAGCAAGAGTGACCCTCATTCTGCACCAGCCAATGAGAAAAATGTCAATTCGATTTCATCTGGAAGTTCATGCTACAGTCAGCAGGGTCCCCCTTCTGTTGTTTAATCTGCCATCCGAGTCGATTGGTTTCACGCTGTCCCGTGAGGTTAAATTTGCCAGGGGCTGCAGAATTGTGCATTGAAACACACCACGGCCTTCCGGAAGCTGACAGGGGTAAGCTGGAGGTTTAGGGAAACAGCTTGTTCTGGCCCCTGGCCTTTGGGACTGTGAGATAAGCACGTTGGCTGGATCAACAGTGAAACAGCTAACGGTGTTGGCATCAACCACACGGGCTAGAAAATGTAGGGCCTGACACGCCACTGGGCTATGGCAGCCTAGCACAGGTGCCAATGGAGCCATGCCAATCACAGCAGCTGAGGAGCTGCCCGGCATTTCTTGTAGAGGCGACATTAGCTTCTGGGGCGCAATTCTGCAGCAAGGGATGGATTCTTTGGCAAATGCGGCAGCTTCGGTGACCTGCAGTGCCTGGGGCCCTCGGTAAAACAGGTCAACGTATGGACACGGACGTGTGGCAGTGCCTGCTTCATGTCTTCCTTCTCTTCACACAGCACTGCGGCTGGGAGCTACTGCAATGGAATTGGATTTCCCCGGGAGAATTAAGAGGAAGGAGTTGGTGATTCAAGGTGGGGCAGGGCATATCTGGAAGGAGTTTTATCTACAGCTCGTAGAAGCCAGGGGTAGGAGTCAGGAGTCCTGGGTTCTATTCCCAGCTGTGCCACTGACTGACCGCATGGCCTTGGGCAAGTCACTGAGCGCTCTGTGCCTCAGTTTCCCTATCAGTAAAATGGATTGATAATACCCACTGATGTAAACAGCATTGAGATCTTCAACTGCAAGTCACAATGGTCCTCGCAGTGGGCACAGTGTGCCAGGGTGTAATGGAATATGCGGGGTAGCTGCATTCTTCCCTTGTAGAAGGGCACTGGGCAGGGCGCCGTGCAGCTGTCTGCCCAGGGGTAACAAAGCTGCGGGCGAGGTCTGAGCCTGATCGGGACAGCAGTGGAGTTTCCCTATGGTAGAGAAGCAGCTGCACTGAATGTTACAGGCCCCGGACACACAGGCTGGTTCTCGCCGCTAGACATGGCTGTTGCCTAGCGTCGCCACGCGGGGCTCCCAGCAGGGCTGCTCGCTTCATGACCCTGTCACCAGGCGTTTGTAGACACTCCTGCTGACTGGGAGCCGCCCCGCGGTGAGTAAAGTCCCGAGGTGACCGGCGAGGGTGGCTCCGGGTCTGAGAGATGTGCAGAGTATTTTAGAACAGGCTGTCACGTGGGCACCTGTGGGCAGCTGGGGCTAGACCCCCTGGGTCCCGCCCACCACCCCTGAGCCAGCCATTGGCAGCCCTCCTGTGCACTGGTGGCCCCCTCGTCCCGTGCTGTGGGGAACCCCCTGCAGCATGCGGGCGGGTCCAGAAACGGGCAGGCCCCCAGCCCCATTCTGCGGCAGGATGCCCACGCGTCTCTGCCGGCCCTGCGTTCCCAAGCTTGCCATGGGATTGCCCGTGCTTGGTGGAGACGCAGGGCCATTTGCTGCCTCTCAGTCCCTGGCCCCTGGCGGGCCATCAGCCTTGCTCTGTGGTGCTGCGCTGTGGGATGCCCTGTCTGTAGGAGCTGGCTCCAGCCCAGCAGGTGTTGATGGGCAGTGGATGAGGACACAGGGGGTGCAGCTCCCATGCCAAGGCAGGAGACCTTATTGTGCAAGGAAAGTCCTGCTAAAGACCCTCCACCGATGAATTTAGCCTACAGCCTGTCTGGAAACACCCGGCTGCCCCGTGCTCACGAACGTCCTGCAGTGGCAAAGAGCTGGGCTCCTGGGGGAAGAGTCAGCCCTTGTCACGGTTACCCCGACCACCCTGCACGCAGCACCACCTACCCCTTGCTGCTGTGTGGCCTCCTCGGCTCTCCCGGCTCTGGGCTCTCTTCTGACCTCACTGGCCATTGTCCCCTTCACAGCACCTCCCCCCCGTTGGTCCCTTCCCGCCCCCACAGCTCCCACTGCCAGGCAGCCTCCCCCAAACCAGCTTCCTCTCCTCCCACCGCAGGCCCTACATGTCCCACTGCCTTAGCCCCAGCACAGAAACTCTCGTCTTCCCTCTCAGCCCGGCTCCTGTGCCACCTGCTCCACCCCGGCAGCTCCCCGCCTGCCTCGCTCACGGGGAGGCCGTAAGGCTGGAGAAGCCGACTAGCCGGCCCAAGGGAGCCCAGGGTTCAGATGCGGCTGCTCCGATGTTCCCAGATGCCGGGGTGTGGAAGGCCCAGTGGTAGTGGGTGAGGAGGTGCCCCCGGGGCTCCGCGTCTCTCCTAGTCCCCCACCCCGATAATCACAGCACCTTGTGATCGAGGCCCCAGGCTGGGATTCAGGAGACCCAGCTCTGCGTGGCCTGCCCGCGAGACGCTGGGCAGATCACAGAGACCAGCATCTTCAGTGGTGGCCTCTGACTCTGGGGCGCCAGTTCCCTGAGGGCAGCCTTGGTGGCTGGTGCACAGCACCGCTGGGAAGTCAGGCCCTCAGCGGCTCCTCCCGCAGCCAGTGGAAATCTCAGGGGTACTGTGGCCCCATTGGGCCCCTTCTCTCCTTGTGCCTCCATTTCCCGTCAGATTCCCCCTCCCATGGCGACGGGGCAGCTTCGTTCTCCAACGGTTGGGTGGGCTGCCGAGCCCGCTGGAGGCAAAGGATGAGGGGATAGTTATTGCTTCCAAAGAGCCGGTGCTGTGGGCCAGTGGCCTGGGCTAGGGCTCAGGAGATCTGCATGCTATGCCAGCTCAGCCGGCCTGCTAGGCCCCTTCCCCGCTCCATGCCTCAGTTTCCCCTCCCACCCTTTGTCTTATTTATTTTGCTTGTAAGTGTAACTCCAGTGGGCAGTGGATGTGACTCCCAAGGACGGGCTGAATTCCCTGCCGCGTGTGGAGTGCGAACCAATTGCTGGTTGGCAGCCACCCTGCGACGTGTCCCTGGGGTGTCTGCACAATGGGCATGTTATTTTAACAGATTCTTCCCTCGTCCCAGCAGAGCCGCCCCCTGGCCTGCAACCGGCCTTTTCCCTAGTAACCTCCCTGGCCGCTTTCCCAACGGTGTAAATTACAGCTCCAGCAGGTTTAATTGATGGGGCAAAACAGGGGCGGGGGTGAGGCTCCCAGGAAACAAACCAGCCCGTCTCCAGCATGGACGGGTCTGACACGGGTGGGCGTTGAGGGCCCTCAGCCCCTAGCAGGACCATGATAAGCCCCATCCCCTGGAGTCGCCCAACTAGTCCCTGACGAGAGCACGGGAGGGGTGAGGGCAGGGGGAGGCTCGCACACCCTGGGGGACGGGTTAGTGATGAGCTGAGAACAGCGCAGCATAAAGCCAGCTGAGATTCCCATTCATTAATCCGCCCCTTTGGAATGTTCCCCGGCCCAATCACCCTGCCCCCGCGCGGCTCTACCCGGAGAATAACGCTCCAGTGATCACCGGGGCCTGCGCAGCGCCAGGGCTCGGGCCGGGGGGGCCTGTGCGGGAGGATTGCACAGGAGCCGTCTCTCCTTTCATGCCAGCGAGCGGTTGGCGGAAGAGTCTGGACAGAGCCATTACTCACCAGTCCCCCTTTTGTTTAACCACCCAGCAGTGCTTGTCTGAAGTTTTGAATAGGAGCAAAACTTGGAAGCAACCAGAGAGAGACATAGCCCGGAGCCCGGGCTGCAGGAGCCCAGGATAACTGCGTGGCACAACACTCCTGCTTCATGGGGATCCGCCCCTTAACCTGGGAGAAGAGAGCACAGAGCCAGCTGAATGAAGGATAAACGGATGCCAGCGTGCCTGCTCTTGGCACTGGCCTGCAGCTTGCTGGGCTCTGCTTTGGGGGAGTTCCCGGTACACCAGCACCCCGAGAAGCTGCCCCCCCTGGTGCCGCTGCAGCAAGGTAACTGACAAATTCCACTGAAATAACTGACTAAGGGGCTGGTCAAGATTTTCCAGCACCAGCTAAGCTGGTTGTGGGGGGGCACATATCTGATCTCGGACTGAGGCTGGGGGAGCCCACCAATATATATCCTTGCAGCCAGTGCTGACCCTGTGCTCACTACTGGTGCCTCCTGGTGCACCCTGTGCCTCTCCGAAAGCCGAGGGGAGCTGAGGACACGCCGCACTCTCTGCTGGGCCAGGTGATGTGAATCGGTGCAGCTCTGGTGGCCCTGTTTACACCAGCGAAGGGTCTGCACGCTGAGGTTAACGGATGGTTTGTTGGCGGGAGGGAAGGTCTCGGAGCTGCTGAATGTAACATCTGTAGCTGACAAGCGAGCGTCCAAACCTCAGGCCGGCCGAGAGGCAGGGGAAATCCATTCCCTCGCGGCGGGAGTCAGGGCACGGCCAGGGTTTAGCCAGGCTGGAGGAGAGTCCCCAGCCTGTCTCTCTCCAAACAGATCATGGGTTTCAATCATTAGCAGCAAATATGATTTTCATTTTGCAATCTCTTTGCTCCCACGGTCTGATTGCCACATTGCAGGGCAGTTAGCCACATGGCCAGGCCCAGTCGAGGGGGCCACAACCGGGGCCAGATTTTTTACCCAGCAGGTGCCAAGAAAAAGGGAATGATTTTCTACTGGGTGCTGCTAATCAGGTGGAGCCGGCCTGCCAGGACGCTGCTTTGTGCCTGAGCTACAGCAGGGATCCAGGGCTCCCCCTGCCTTTCCCGTCAGCCCCCCATGTACTTGTGGGTGACCCCAGAAACGCCCCAGCAAACATGCTCCAAGTTCTCCCTTTTCTCTAGCTATTCTCCCCCACCCCCTTTCCTTGCCAGAGCCTGGGGTGGGTCGCCCTATTCGTACCCAAGCAGCGAGACGCCCGGGCTGGCTCTGGAGCGGGTGTCACTGGCTCGCAGGCCTGGCCCGCTTTGTATTCTGCTAAAAGCCAGGCTTTCTTCTCTCCCCTTGTCACCATGGAGACCCGTCTCCCTTCCTTGGCTGTTTGCAGGATTACTCCAGCCGGGGGCTGGGGCCCGGCTTGGCCTGGATTCGTGAGCTGCGGCTGCTGGAGGTGGCCTGGGCAGGGAGGCTGCAACTCCTGGAGTTGACTGCGGGTCCCCAGCTCAGCCATGCTCTGCTTGGGGCCGGGGGGTTGGGATCTGGGCCTTTGCTCATCTCGAACTCGTGTTCCCCGACTCCCTGCTTTGCTCCCTCTGCCCAGCTCCAGGCTTGAAGGAACGTTTCCTGCTGCTTTCGCTGCACAACAAACTGCGGAGCAAAGTCCAGCCGCCCGCTGCCAACATGCAGAGGATGGTGAGTCCCCCTCTGCCTGCCTGCTCGCCCTCAGCCCCACGGGTCAGACGCAGCAGGGGCCCGGCAGGGTCCTGGGGACGCGCTGCGTTGATCACCCCGTCAATCTCCTCAGGGGAGGGGAGGGTGCGATGGCACTTTGGGGGATCCCGTGGAGAATGCAGGGGCCAGATCATCCCCTGGCACTGGGCGACGGCTGAACCCTTCTGGCTAGTGCTCACACCCAGAGTCCCAGGGTGGGCTGTCCATGCCCGACTGCGCTCTCCCCATTCCCTGTCGGGCTCTGCTCCGCCCAGGCCACACGGCAGCGCGGAGCAGGAGACAGAGCTGCACGGTGGACCTGGGATTCCTGCCGGGCCCAGGGACCTGCCAGTCTGGGGCCTGGGTGGGGGCGGGTGGGGCATGGCTGAGCCCTGGTGTGGGGCACGGACAGGAATCAAAACCACCACCACCACCCCCCGGCCACAATGCACCGGCCTGCACGGGACTCCACGGAGACACGGCTGAGCTGCACAAGGTCCAGGGCTCGCCCAGCCTGCTCACCTCCCTCCGCCCCATTGAACCCACAGCTCCGAGCCAGGGCCAACAGCTGAAAGAGGGAGGGTCTCTGTGCTTAGGGTTACCATATTTTAATAGTCCCAAAAGAGGACACTCCACGGGGCTCCGGCTCCGCCCCAACTCCGCCCCTTCCCTGTCCCCAGCACCCCAACTCCACCCGGCCCCGCCCCAACTCCGCCCCTTCACCAAAGTCCCTGCCCCAACTCCGCCCCCTCCCCTGAACGCTCCGCCCCCTGCCCCCCCCCCTCCCCTGCTTCCCACGAATCAAATGTTTGCGGGAAGCCTGAAACAGGCAGACAGCAGGTAAGCTGGGGCTGGGGGCTGGGGCGCGAGGAGGCGTGGCCCAGTCCAGCCCCCCCGGCTGAGCGGCTCCCTCCGGTGGCCAGCCCCGGCCAAGAGGCTCTGGCCCCGGCGTCTCCGGCCCGGCTCAGCTCGGGCCCTGGGGCGCCAGTCCCGGTTCCAGCCGAGCGCGCCGGCCCTGGTCCCAGCGGCTCCGACCCAGCTCAGTTTGGGCCCCGGTTCCAGCCGAGCGGCTCCGGCCTGGCCCCGGCCTAGCGGCGCCAGCCAAAGGCCGAGCACCCCCAGCCCCGGTCCCAGCGGCTTCGACTCGGGCCCCGGTTTTGGCCGAGTGGCGCCGGCCCGGCCCCGGCCCCAGCCCTGGGCGAGCAGCGCCGGCCAGCGGCCGAGCACCCCCAGCCCCGGTCCCAGTGGCTCCCCCAGCCCCGGTCCCCCCGACCCGGACCCGGCCCTGGCCCGAGCACCACCGGCCCCAGCGGCTCCAGCCCGGCCCCAAGCCCCACGACCCCTTCCGA